TCGCGTTCTATCAACGAGCTCCCTCGTGTGCGTGCCCTGCAGGAACTGGTCGAGAAACGTAAGCAGGCTCGGGATGCGTGTTATGGGAAGAAAAAGTACAAACGCGCGGTTCGGAAGTATCAGCGAGCCCTCCGTGAGCTGCGAAATGAGAGGCAACGGCAACGCAATCGCCTCGTGCGGGAGAACCTGGAACGATATAAGAATGAACAACCAGTGATCGACAGCGAACGACAGCTCTCCGGGAAAGTTGTAGATGAGGAGGTGATTGGGGCCTTGCAGCGATCGGGATATATGACACCGCAGCACATGATGCTGATTGACACCATCCTGACTCTGCCAGGCGCCACCATCGAAGCTGAATATCAGCGTCGGATTGCAGCAATCAATGCGGTAATTGCGTTCTGTGATGTGATGGAGGGCGCCCCAATACGGCCCGGCCCGTCCCGAAAGCGTCTCGCAACCGACGCTGTCGCACCCCATTCAAAGAGGCAAGAGGGCTCACAGGAGGACGAGGATACAATTGCTCTCCGCCAGGCAATTGCATCTGTCCGGGTTGGCTCACCTCGCCAAAGACCGAAGATTTGCTTCCTCTGCGTTGGAGACACTAGACTCCCAGTGACAGAGCGGACATGGGTATATAATACGCCGGGATCTCTGAGCAGACATCTTCGTCGGAAGCATCTGAATTCTCCTTGGCCAGAAGGCAAGATGATCAAATGCAATATTTGCAGTGTCAAACTCGAAAGCAAGATGCATCTGATGAATCATGCAGAATCTGCACACGGGACAGTATCGCGAGTGCTCTATAGCTCCATCTAAGGTTGTCCGTCAAGGATTGTTACAGTTTCTCTTTTCTCTCATTGCACTGTTGCTTATGATAGATCATTATACTGCACAAGCAAGGCAGATTCCTGTCATGAGCGTCATGTGCTTGTTCTATGGCATGCAAGTTTAATTTTGTTTATTAATATCCCCATGGTTGCCTTCTATGTATTTCCTACTTTGTTAAGTGACATGGAGTTCATCTTTAATGCTGTTTCAGTGAGCATTTATGTGAGGAATGTTGATGTCTACCGTTTAACAACACAGGTTCTTTCAGTTTATCTCTATTCTTTTTTGTTTCTTCCCATCTCATTTTGATTTGAGGAAGTCCCTGCATAGTTGAGCAACATCAAGGTCTACAGTTTGTGATATGGCTGCCATGACACAGAAAGTGTAACTCAAATGAAGGTATAGGGTAGCCAGTGATATCGATGCTTTGAATACTGGAAAGATCTGAATCTAGCAACACACGTGCCTTTGCAGCATGGGGGCTGTCAGAACCCACAAGCCTCAGTGTGTTTGTCGAAACTCATGGCCACACACACATGCCTGCTCAGCGCGCAGGCAGTTAGATTTACACGGAACG